CCCTATAACAGGGGCTCCATTTGGTGTTTTCTGACCCATACGAGATCTCCCTCAGTGTGATCGGTGGCTTCAGACAACAGCATCCATGATGTGTTTTGAAAAGTTAATGAAATCTGCCCACCAGCAAGGCTGAGGGATCGCTGTCCTTCAGCTGTGTCATATTCAGGGCTATTTCCTTTTCAAAGCAGTGCGTGGGCAGGAATAGCTCTGCTTCCTCTGGCAGATGCAGTTACAAACTTACAGTTCATGGGTAAATCAGTAACAGGGGTTATGTGCCAAAGACAGGAGTTGGAATTTCACTATCACCAGCTTCACATCCCCTGAGCTCCCATCCACTCCTCTGGGCATCTCCCTCCTCCAGCAACCTACCCCAGACCTGCCTGGTGCAACGCCCAGGTTTCTGCTGGGAAAAATAAGAGACTGCTTCCTGAGCAGGTTTTCTTCACAGTAACCTGAGAACAGGTCCCACATCTTACTGGAGTTTAACTCAGGCAGCTTCTTTCCCTCCTTTTCCCGCAGAGAGCAATGGAAAGACGGCCACAAAGAGGGCAGGAGTCCAAAATACTCTCCCGTTTGATTCTGCTGGGTCTGACTTCCTACCTCCCTGTTTTATCTGCAGTCCACAAATATTTTCACAAGTGGATTTGTATATGCATAGATGCCTGGGGAATGGTTGTTCTTCATTCATTTGAATGGAAACAAGGCAACATAATGCGCAGTTTCCATATCTCATTAGCACCTATTATTGCTAAGCAAACAACTGCAGAGACCCACAGATGCAGCTCCTCCACCAGGACCAGGGTGCTGCTGTGCCACCATGCCAGCGAGGACAGTCCCCACATCCCATCCCATCATGGGGAGAGCTGCCCTGTGGCTGGACCAAGGCAAGGAGGGGTATGATGGAAGTGCAACCATTACAACTACTGAAATTTACCTTTAAAAAATATTTTTAAAAACACTGATCTTGCAGATAAGCAAATCCTGTATTAGCAGGCAGAACAGTCCAGCAGCTTGCTAGCAGGACCGCAATATCAGTCTTAGCATGTTATGAATAGACCAAGGACCTGCTTTATTCATCAGCTCACAGCCTTAAATACATTTCCACAAATAATCTCATCAACTAATAAATGACTTCCAAAAAGGTTATAACTCACGAAGAAGAAAAGGACCAAGTTTACAGAATCTTATGAATGATTAGTGGGCTGCATTGGTCTGACAGCACTTGATGGCACTCAACAAGCAAATTGGCCACATTAAAATGGATGAAGTCACTGGCAAAGCAGAGCATCTGACAAAAGAATGAATACTGAGAACTTTTCCCCTTTTCATGATTAACTTGATCATTTAATGTCCAGATCAAATGTAACCCATAAATGAGAGCCCTGACATGATTAAAATGGCCATGAAAAGGTTAAGGGCTGCTTAATTGTCATACAATTCAGCGTAAGATTTAAGAGAGAAGTATCACACGCAAGAGACGAGCATTAGGAGATGCATGGAGTAGGGGTTAGGCCAGCCTTTTAATCAGTATATCAGATCCTGAAGGCAAAGACTCGGCAGAGACACTGATGTGAAACACCAGCTTTTTGAGAAGACAAGGTCTGGAAAGCTCCTCTGTACCCATGTTTCTATTCAAGTCTGGTTTCTGCAACATCTGCAGCATTAAGGAAACAATTACCTTTCCAGTGTATTGGTAAAGCTATCAAATGCAAAGCACCATGCAATCTTGGGGTACGAGATAACAATAAACACCTCCAAAGTACAGGCAGCAGGCCAAAGAAGAGCAGAGATTTTAGCATTTTTAATTTACTGACTAGCAGGGAATGATATCATGGGTGCCTGAGTGCAGATGGAATAGCTGCTTCAGTTCATTGGTATAACTGTCAGCACTGAATCCAGGCAGAGCAAAAAAAAAATGTGACACCTTTCAGCCAAACTTAATAGCAATATAAATGGATTGAAAGAAAATTGCAATTGGGTCTACAAGAGAAACATCTAGGTGCTCAGGAAAAAATGACTTATTGTGATAACACAGTAAATGTGATATGAACCAATAACTCACAGAAGTAGTCACTGTTTAGGAGATAATTTTAAAATATATAGCTTTGCAGTTGTTTCAGAGTAGGTAGCAAATGCTTTTTAATACACTTGACAGGCAGTACTTTGTGAAGGCTCACAGAAATTTCACATTTCACACTCATTATCCTAAATAAATCATTAAATGTTGTGCTGCTTAGTTATCTAATGAGCAAGCGCATGCATATAAAACAAAAGGGCAGATTGGCCCTTCAGCAAGCCAGCAATTGTTCCCTCTCACTTTGAGAGAAAGTTTAAGTTTGAATTATGTGAATCACATTAGAAACGTACCTGAAAGTCAAAGCAGTATTTTTCCCCTTTTGCAGAAGCTCTTGGCACACAGAAGTTGCTTCAAAGGAGGAGGCAGGAAAAAAAAAAGTCACAGAATGAGTCCTGTCTGACCCTCGGCCTTCACACAGAAACCACAGCAGAGATGTTCTCCACTCACCTTTGGCGAAATTATTACAATAAATAAAGCCCTCCTGCTTGCTGAATCCTTACCTACCCCATTCCAATGCTATGGTAACAACACCAGCTCACCTTGCCAGATGGAAGTCTTTAAAAGTCACATGTCAGGACCCAAAAATCACTATATTTTGGGTTTTGTTTATAAATAAAAAGGGAAACAAAATGTAACAGATGTTTTTTGAGATCTTTCATTTTATTTTCTAAACCCTGAAAGTTTGTACTTCCGAGCCTAAGATAATATGATTGCATGTTAACAGGATTTGATAGCTCTTCATAATCACCCAACTCCACACGCCGGAACTCGAGAAGCAGATGTTTTCTCCCAGCAACATCTCTATTTGTTTTGTTTGCTACAACCAGAGTGGAAGCAGTGACCACCTGTAATCCTTCAGACAGCCCTCCCACTTGTTCCCCACTCGGATGCTTTTGGCAGTGCAAGAGATGAGCACTTGGTACCCATTTGGGCTCATTTTCTTCTGTTGTGGCTGCTGGACCAAGGGAGAGGTGAGCTCAGGGGGCTCTTCACACGGTGAGGGGAGGCACACAAAACTGACCATGGCTAAGACAAGTGGTGTTCTCCAGGCTGTGGAATTAAACAGCAAAACCACTGCTGCAACAGCCTCCTCTCCTCTGCTTCCCCTTTTTGGAGCACAATGATCCAGCAAGCATTTGTCTGGTCCCTTGCTCCATCTGCTGCTCAAATGCTGGATGTGGAAAAGCCACAGCCCCTGGGCTGGAACAAGGATGCTGCCTGGGGCCTGCTGCTGCAGGGATTCTTGCTGGCATCACCAGCCCGAGGCAAAGGAAAGGTGTTTCTGTCCCACCCTTGTGCAGCATGGGCCTGATTCATCTGCTATTGGGCAGATCTCAACACAATCATGGTCAGCTTTAAACAAACACCTAAAAACTCCCCTCTAGCCAGACTAAAATAACAGAGCTTTCATCTGAGACTGTGCATAAGTGGACACCAAACAGTAAGTCACAATAAAAAACAGCAAGAGAAGAAAAACAGGGATTCAATTCAAGATGCAGGTTTATAAAGCCTAGAAGTAGAAGATCCAGCAGCTGCACAGCAATAAGCAGTTTACTTTAAAGAGAGAACACTAATTCTCATCCACTGCATAGCAGTTTTCCTCAATGTTTCCCATGCCGTTTGTGTTCACCAGCTGCAGTCTCACTCCGCTCTGAGACCAACACACCAGTGTTGCATCTGTTTGTGACAAATTCAAGCTTGTGATGGTGCCCCACCACTAAGGACCTACAAACATAAGGACCAGGCAGCACCCGGCCAGCAGCTTCAGCAGCAGAGGATGTCCACCAGGACTCCTTAAAGGAAAATTAGCAAGGAGTGCCAGGGAAGGATCTGCAGATCTTGTCATCATTAGTAATGTCAGACCCATTTCTGCCTTGTCTTTTCATGTTAAAGTCTCAGAAGAACATGGAAGGGCTGCGCTTGACAGGTCCTCAGGTACCTTTGATAATCTGATCAAACCTAGCACCTACTTGCCACTCTCTGAAATAAATGATCTCTGCAGCTCACATATACATTGCATATTAGCATATGTAGCTGTTTGATATCTACTTGATATGCATCATTCTAAGCAGCTAACCCCCTACTTATTCCTCAGATACTATCGGTCCCATGACTTCAAATATAGCAAAATCATCTCCCCATCTTGCTTATATTACAAAACAAATTAGAGATCCTGAAGAGAAGTGTGTTAATCTTGTAATTACCATGGTAATAATGAGGCAGTTTAATGATCTTGCTAATTCTCTGTTCAGCGAGACAGGGTTTGGAAAATGCTCATACCCCATCTGCCCTTTTAATTCTGCTGAAATCAGAGATTCCTTTTAAGTGAGATCTGTGACTGCGTGTCATCACCTCGTCTCCATTCTCATGTTTAAGAATTGCTGCAGGTCTACCCAGAGGCCAAGTATTACATCACAACCAATGCCTACGCAGCTCCAGTCAGCAGCTATTTAGTTGTATGTTAATTCAGACAAGATTGCCAGAGGAAGTAAAAGCTGAAATAAAACACCTACATGAGGACTAAAATTCTGCACATCGATTGTCTGCATCAAAAGTCTTCAAATTATCAGCTGCAACGAGCTGCCCAAAAGCTGCATTTGCCTCACTGGCTCATCCTCACCCTGCCAGTACTAAGTTACAAGCAAGTGCAGCTGTAACAGGTAACGTTTATCAAGCATTCCAACAGGGAATTCTGTCTAGAAGCTGACACCTGCTCTCCTCCAGCAACTGATGGCACAAAAAGTGAACAATAATATAGCAGATGAGAAGATCCTCCTCCCACCAGCGTCTCCAGAAAACAAAGCTGACTGGTCACCAGCTCTGGTAACAGCAGTTCTCAGGATGGGCACACAAAAGCAGGGGCCACGTTCAACCTGGGAGTAAAACAGTGAGGTTCCACCAGCCACAAGAGATAGCAGCTCACCTGGAAGGCCAACCCCTTTGCATCACATTACCCAGGCAAGTGTCCCCACGCACACAGGCTCCACCTCTGCACAAAAGAGAAAAAAAAACCAGTCATTATCTCTTACTGTAACCATATCTTAATCCTCAGTACCAACAGATATTGTTTCTAGCACATTTGACACGCTACGGAAATAATGAATAGTAATTAGAATTAGTAGTTGCAAGTACCAGTGCAATTAACAGCAGCAGTGTTTAGCATGCCAATTATTTATGAACACGGGAATGCTGCACTGGATCAGCCCAAGGATTTAACTACCCCACTGTTCCACTTGCAACTATTACCAGCAGTGAATGCCCAGAAAAACATGCGAGAGCAAAGCTGGTATCAAGTGATCCTTCGTCCTGTGACAACTCACAGCTCAGGCATTTCCCAAGGCAGACACCACTGCCAGACACACAACAAGCTCCATTTCTCTGACAGAGCTCACCTCTGAACCTGTGCAGGGTGGGAACAACTGGAAAGCACCCCAGGGCTGGCTGTGGGACTTGGCAATAAGCAGGGTCCTCTTGTGATACTTCTCACTCAGAAGCAGCCACAAGCTCTGTTTGTGCTCTGCCAAGCATCACTGCCTGGGCTGCAAAGGCCAAACCCCTCGGGTATAGGAACGCACTGCACATACCTTTATTTCTTGCCTTGAGATACAAGCCTTCCCTCAGTGTCACTGTGTGATCTCAAACTATTGCAGGGGTGAAATGCCCCATGAGCCAAAGCTGACACCGAGCTAGAAAAAAGGGCTCACAAGCAAAACAGCTTTCACAGTAGCAGTACAAGCTACAGAAGAGAGAGCAGTGTATATGTTTAAAAAGCTGCTGTGGTGGTGTTTAGCCAAAATAGGTAAAGGACACCCTGAAGAGAAGGCTTGTAGGTGAACACTAGATTTTATTAATGCAAGCACTAAGGATTAGAAGCGAAGCACAGCCCTGCCAGCACAGACACCCAGCCCTGGACGTGGATCATCCATGCTGCAGGAAGGCCAGAAGAAACCAACAGCCCTCTTGCACAGCTGCTCCAACACCCCTCACTTGGGGAGGTAGCCTGGTGGGGAATGCAACACGAAATACACACTGATTACCAGACACACTGCACAGCAAGGAAGCGTTCAGAGATGGAAAGTTCTTTTTTTAAAAAAAAACAACAAAACTTGTGTTTTGAACAATTTGACAAGAACCACTCCAGAACAAGCTGCTGCACGTCAAGTGGCAGACTCAGTACTACGTTTTAAATAAAACAGTTATTTCTCATTCTGCCTTCAAAATTGCAAGCTGGTTCATTACCAGATAGGCCTCAGAAAGGCTAGTGTGATGAGATGTGCTGTTCCAGGAAGAGCAGCAGCTGGGTCTTCTCCAGCATCACACCACCCTCATCACATAGCAGTGCTGCAATTGAATTCATTCACATGTTATCAGTGTTTGGGGCCAACTGCAGCAGAAACTGCTCGTTCTGCCTGAGCTGCAACATGGCTCAATGTGGTCCTTCATCAGACACTCATTGGTGCATCTTCAGTACCACAGACGAAAACTTGAGAAAGATGGATTTAAGGCAGAACCAATAGAAGCCGAGCTTGCTCTGCACGGCCCCTGAACAGCCCACTGCCTGGCCACAGTTCATCACCTGGCTTCACCACTTCGGATCTCACCAGCACTGCTCAGAACACACAACTGTGTTGATGTGAAAGAGAAACAAGTAAATGAAAAATTATGAGTGGAAATTGAATCTGCTAGACAAATGCTCAGCAATAGATTAGCATGTGCTGCATTTGCAAAAAAAAATATAATACTTTAACTTCAGCTTATATTAAATATTGGAACTGCTGAGCTTTCCTCGGTGTTCTGCATGTCTTGATATATTGTCAGCAAGCATATTTCATTAGCTGCATATATCCATACCTCTCTAATAACTTCCAAACTCTTGGACTCCTGTCATTTGGACTTGTATTTGAAGAGGCACTTGAGATATAAAAGAAAAAAAGCAAAAGAAAAAACCCAATACTAAAAGCAATGAGCTTTCACTGCTTTTGTCAGTGGAAACTTTCCTCTGAGCTGTATAATTGAAAAGCAATGCAGTCACACAAAATATTACACGAGGTGAAGAACACTTCAGTGACAGACTTACAACCCACAAACCAAAACATAAAGCATTGCTTATCACAGATAATTGCACGTTTTGCATCCTATTTTAATCCTTTTGTTATCTTTTAAACAAAATCCCTGCCCCAATTTTAGAGACAGGAAATAAGAAAAAACATTTGCATTCTTTTCTGAATCACAGTCATTATCCAGGATAAAAGAGAATAAACTGGGTCTGCTGCAGAATGTGACCTGCTCATGGTAGCTCCCCCTTTTCCCCAAGGTAAAAATACAACAAACCACCACAATGCATTTGCTTTATTTAGTTTTCATAAAGCTGTAACTGAGTTCTAAGCTCCTCTGGATCCCTTTACTTTTGATCTGTTTTCCAAATTAAAAAAAAAAAAAAAAAAAAAAAAGTAAAATCCGACCTTTTTGGTACAGAACAGGAGGTAAAACAGGATTTTTTTAAAATTTGTTTTTAAACATTTCAATTTTGAATTTTTCTCAGAATGAAAGGGAACAGTTTGAGAGGAGGAAGGGGCAGGATGACTTAGAATATTTTTCACCATGTCTAGACAACTCTGAATAGCAGTCGTGGTCAACACTGTTGAACTCTGAACAGTGAAAAATCTACAGGTAATTCATAAAAGTAATTGTGGCCCCAACCTTACAGCCTGTTTCAGACACCAAAGCCTTTAAGGGGAGGAACAAAGTGCAGGAATCAACAGCCAGAGAGAGCCTCAGACAAAGCCCTGCCTCGGGTTTACCCATTTCATGGACATCACTATTGGTGGCTCCTCTTATTCTCATTTTTACCATAGCAATGGTATCCACAGAGATTACTAAAGGGTGAGGATTTAGCAGTTAAATGTACTGCACACAGGAAAATAAGAAACTCAAGAGCAGGAAGGTTTCCCATCAGTAAGCAGCTCTGTGCTAGGAGTGCTTGCTTGCTACAGGCTGTAGTTTTCATTTGGGATAAAAGCCCAAAGGTTTGGGTTCCTTGAGGCAGAATTCATCAGAAAACAAGATTGTTTGTATTGCAGCTGGTACAGGTGCGTGGTCTTGCATCAGCCTGAGGATGGCATTTGCTTTACAGTCATTTATAAGCTTTCTTTTCTGTGATATCTTCCCTACAGATGTCACAGGTAATCCACAGAAATGTGATTTTGCTTAAAAAAGAAAAAAAGAAAAAAAACAGAAAACACACATTTACCCATACCTTGAGGATTTGCATGGTGACTGCTGCAGCACAGCCCATGGAAGCCAGTGGCACTCCTCATGCACACCCACTGTTCCTGAAATCAAGCCGATTCCTTACCATCTGGTTTTCCCTTGTTTCTCAGGGTGACCCAGCTCCAGCCTCACACATACATTTAACAAAAACTCATTTCCCCTCCAATGAATGAAAACTGTGGCTTAGTTATTTTCTACAAACACAAAGGCTAGATAACACAAAATTTGCACAAAATCAGCTCAGTTTGCTGACACTGCTCGAGGATTTTGTTCCTGCAAGGCACCTGCCACAAAAAGATTTGCAATGAACCAAGTGCTCTTCAAAAAAGTGAATACCCATTAAACACAATGCAACACACACATAATGCAGTGTAACAGGTCTGAACTAAGGCCATAGAGATAAACATCCACAGCATTGAACAAAATATACAGGTTTCCCAACAAGCCCCATGCCTCCAGACACCTGCTGTTTACTCTCAGATTTAATGGCAAACTATCAGAAATAAGTGCAGACATCACCATTAGGTCATGGGTGATTTCTTGCTGTCTCTCAGCAGCAGGCAGACCTCCCTGGTTGCACAGTGCTGCTGTCCCAGAACGTGCCAGGATGGATCGAGGCAGTGTGGCAAAGCCCCAACCCAGCCTCAGCTGTGGGGATGTTTGAGGAACAGCACGGAGGAGGGTAAAGGACATTTAGTGCATCAGCCACCGGCAAAGCACGAAGGATAGCATGAGGCCTAATGGAGTGCACTGCAACACTGCCTCGGTCTCCAAAGAAACTGCAGAGGTGGGAGGATGGAACTGAAATCCTTGTGCTTCAAAGGCACAGATCTCCCGCTGCTGAAGTGAAGAAGAGACGGCCCGGGGCTTCTTAACAATACCTGATCCAGCACATTTTTCCCCAAAAGAAAATAGGAAAAAAACCCACAGAAAACAGCAACACACAAGAGTTTGAAGTCACTGGTTTATAGAATTCTGTATTAGCCAGGTAATTGAAGAGCTTGCTTCTAGGGCCTACTGCTTTTCAGTTGCTTCTATTGTGCTCGTTCACTGTGGACTTCTTAAACATTTACTGCACAAAACAACAGATAGATTTTACACTTCTGGGCAACATTTTGTCCTAATTCACTCACAGTTTCCACTGCAATTCACACAGGATAACCTCACAAGTGCTCTAGACTGAAGCTGTCTACTCAAAATGCCAAGCGTTCTTCTAGCAGCCAACACCAGTAATAACAAGTGCACGGGGACTCCGCAAAGGCACAGCATGCTGCTGATCCACATCCCACTGCTCCACACCCTTTCCCCAGCATCATCCCTCCACGCACAGTTGATCATTCCCTGAGAGGGAAGCCTTTGTAAACTGAACCAGGCATTTACACAGCTGAAACACCACCAAGAAATCAAGCACAGGGTCACAAACCAACTGTTCTAGCTTCTTCCTCATTTCAAATTGGTTGCAAACATTTTCACTTGCTCCAGCAGTTGGAAATTGACAGCCGTGAGTGAGCAAAGCAATTCCCACTGCAGCTGGATAAACCCTCCCTTCCCAATCTGTAACAGCTGTAACAAGATACGCGCAGAGAAATAATGTTGATCAAAATGGAATAATATTTAGAGCAGAATGTCAGGTTCAGCACAACTAGATTTGCTTGCTGAAGCAGCTGCTCCACGCATTAGAATTTTCTAATAAACAGTTATGAAGATCGACACCTTGGAAGTAATTAAGTATTAGGTATTTTTAGGTAATTACTGCAGCAATAACGTAAGACGTGCTCATTTTCAGAATGAGGAATCATCTGTAGCTCCCATTGCTGTGCCTCTTTTAATAATTCATAATAGTTTTGACACCAATGATTATTTTTGATTACTCCAGCTTTTCAACTTTCCAAACAAACTAATGGGAGTAAGAGAAACAGTTTATCATGTGGGGGAAATCCCACTGATCCATTAGGCTGTATGGGACTTCTTGGGGAGAGGAACATGTAGAAAGCAGGATGAGAATGTATTGACAAGGTACAGGATATCCACATGAAAAGTAAATGCTTACTGAAAAAAATGTTACTTTAGTGGCTTGAAAATTAGCTTGTAGTGAGGTTTTGGCCTTTTTTAGTTTTAGTTTAATATAGACATTTGCCTTAATTTATTGTGAAGAAATTTAAATGTCAAGGAAAAAAAAAAAACCACTATGAACTGAAGCCATATTTAAAATGAGAAATTTACTGCAACTGTGCTCATGTAAACAGGCTTCAGCAGAAAAACACCCTACCAGCTCCATACTGACTGGTGAGAGCCTAATGATTCTTAACATGGCCCCCTCAAAACTTGCCTGCAGTGCCCACCTGCTGGGAGACACCCAGCCATCCTCCTGCAGCATGGTGGTGCTCATGGTCAGCACTTACAGCCCTGCCCCATTCTGGCAGAGCTGCTCATCAGCAAGGCTCAGATGGGGGCATTGATGTTTGGGATGAGTAGCTGTATTCAGATGAATTCCCTCTTTGTCTTCATTCATTCCCATTGCACCAAAACCAGGAATATCTAGTCTGTATACAGACTCCGCCCAGCCACATTAACACTTGCTTACAATAGGCACCAAAGGAGAGAATAACTGCTTCTCATTTATTTTAAAGTGTTTCCTGGTTTGTTTTTTAAAATGCACCATCTGTGCTTCCACCATGACACTCAGGCTGGTGTTAATGAAACAACTCCTGCTCTTCGAAGGCACAGCAGTGATTTCTCCACCCCTACAGCTCAGAGGCTGAGGGCAGCCCAGGACAGCAGCATCTCTGTGCCAGCCACAGCTCCCTGTGCACAGCTCTGCAAAGCCCCCACAGCACCCAGCCTCACCTGCTGCAAGAGGTAGCAAGGCCAAGGAGCTGCCAGTGCCCATTGATCTGAAGCAACAGTTCAATTGAAACAGCTAGAATTGAGACACTCTCACAACCAGTTCCTATGTTTGTTTTAACCAGCAGACTTTGGGATAAGCACATCTTCAAGTTCCCAAAGCTTTAATGAAGTCACGTTTCTCTCCGCCCTATTTTTATTTGCATTGCTGCCTCGGCATCTGCAAGACAAAGGCTTGGAAGCACAGGGTAAGAACACAGGTTGACTCTCCGCATAAATACATAAAGCCTGCAACAAAACTGCACTTTGGAATTGGAAGTTTTGTTAGCTCTCTCCTTGGTGCTCCTACTAGCATGTACTCGAGGCAGGAACACAAGATGTTTATCGTATGTAAGCAAGATGCAGAGGTGGTTGAATTCCAGATCAAATTTCTGAGGACGTGCACGGAACATGCAAACACTTCTCTACAGGAGGTAACCCAGATCACCCTAACAAGACAGGGGATTAACTTCCTCTTATCTCAAATTCTATTCTGTTAAGCAACATCATTTTAAAGATACAAACAAAGCCAGATGACACAATCTTGGCTAGCAGAAACCCATTAGTGTTGTGCAAAAAAATCACTCTTATTAAATAGTAATAACTTCATCTGTTCAGAAACAGCTTTCTTCTGGGGGAACCAGGGAAGGAGGCAGGAGGTGGAAGAGGACGGACATTTCAGTATCCATCTTTAAAGGTATTGTTCTGTTTTACTTAAATGACATTGTAATGTCTCTAAGGAGATGAAAATCCACACCTAATGGTTTAAGTCTGCTTCCCTCCCATCCCCCTACCCTCAACTCCAACACATCTTATCCATAAGGTAAAGCAATTCCAGTTATCATGGAAAAAAAAACCCAAACTGCTTCACACCCAGATCAAAGGTTAACTATATCCTTAAAAGAAAAAAAACGTGGGAGTGTTGTGGATGCCACATGCAACATTTTATTCCACGTTAAACATAAAACACAAGCCTACCATAAAGCTGGGGGGAGCATGAATTATGCCTGAAGAGTCTCTGGCCGTATGTGGTGCAGTACTCAGAAATTTCTTATTAGGCTGCTATGGCACCGTTCCATTTGTTAAATTATTTTATGTTAGCGAGAATGATTAGGTTTCTTGTGCAGTTATTGGGACCCGAAAGGCACCTTTATTTACCTCATTTATCACATACAGCAGCATTCAGCTGAAGCGCAGAGGTAAACAATTTTAAATAGCAATACTCCTGCTGCAACACAGTCGTCTTGACCAGAGGAGCATTGGAAAAAATGCAGATTTAAACTGCTCACATTACTGTTTTATCTGCGTTTCAGTCTGAAGTACTAACTTATCACCAAGCTCAGCAATAAAGAAACATGGAGAGGAAGGTATTAAATATTTATGCCTACGGTACCTTACGAGGTTTCATCAAAATATTAATTGTAAAACAAAAGCACAAGTGTCCTAGCCACCAGAAATGGGAACAGCAATACATAAAGCCAACGTGACAGTGCTGCAACCAATTTAGTTTGTAGTGCTGAAAGCATTCTTTGCTCAAATTAAATTTGGGGAAGAAAATACTCTGGAAACGTATATTGAAAATAATCATCAGTTGCTCTGAAACTGGAACCTGCTAGGATTGCTAAATTGCAATTTGCACATTATGGGGTAAAAATAATCTAGGGTCACATCTCCCCACCTTGCCTCCCTGCTGATACTCTGAATCACTGCCATCGGTTGCCTCAACATTCACCTCCAGTGACACCCGCGTGGCACAGGCTTTTCCCACAGCTGAAACAAGGCCCAAAGCATCACACATGGGTACGCACCAGCATCCTCACATCAGCCTGGGGAAAGGCTGAGCAAAGCTCTGCTCAGATCCTGTGAAGTGCCAGCAGCACTTCAAAATGGAAATAGATTTATTACTAAAGACTAAACACTACAGGAAACACAAGAAAAAAATAATGCTAAATAACCTTCATCGTTATGTTGCTTTGGAAATAAATACAGTGAAATATGTGTTGGACATAAATAAGAGTTTATCCTGACATAAGAAAGGTTTATCAACTCCGAAGAGCTGGATGATTCTCTGCAAGTTATTAAGTACGGATGTAGGCATCTGGAACAAGAGTAACTCTCCAGAGAAGAAAAAACTCTCGCTCAAATCCTGTGTAGCTGGGGAGATGTTTTGTTAGGTACTACTTTATGGTGACTTGTATGCCTGGAAAACAGACAGCAGAAACCAGGATAATGGGCAGAACGCACAAGGAAACCTGAACACATTCTGGATGAACACCAACAGCCACTTAGAGGCTTTTTTTGGATTGGTTAAGAAGGACTTAAAAATGCAAAGGTAAGGGAGAGAAAGTATGTCTCCCACTGCTCAACTCCTGCCATGCTCAATAAAACAGAACTTCATGCATTCTTTTAAAATAAGAATGGTACATCAAAAATAAATGAGCTTTTTAAACAAATCCTGCTAATGGAAGCAGCCCCCAGGACTCCTTATTTGATCATGCAAAAGGACGGCAGCAGACTGCCAGGCAGCATGCCCTCTGCTCCAGGGCCCCAGCTCTCACCTGCCTTTGCTGCAAAGCCTTCACACCTCACCAGGTTTGCACCTGGAACATCAGAGACCAAAGGCCCTGGGGCAGTTTTGGAGTCGTGCCCACCGGCCAAGTTGTCCCTGCGGAAGTTGAATGACAAAAGGGTAAGTAGTAGAGCTGTGCTTGTGATGGGAGACTTTCACATATCCTGTCTTCCACTGACAAACAAGAAGCACTGGAAATCCAGGGAAAGGACTACCTCCAACCAGCGAGCCGCCATCTGTGATCGCTCCTATTCAAAACGCAGTCATGCTCCTTCCAGATACAATTTTCCAGTACTACAGAATGAGATTCCTTTACAATTATTTTATAGTCATTGGAACATTCCAATCAATTCGTTCATTCCGCATGCCTTCCTGCTTATTCTCCTAATGCTTGACTTCCATCATCTTATATCACTTCAGTAACACAGTGCTTGAAACTGAGTGGCTGCAAAGAGCAAGACTCTGGTTTCCTTAAGGGAAAAAGCATACCATTAACTTCGCACCTCTGATACTAGGAAATCCACACAAGGGAGATGTTAAGAAATACTCAAACAACAGGAAAGTTTCCAAAGTTACCCATACACAAGCAAAATTCAAGTACGAAATGCAAATTCACAGAAAACAAAGCTTTGTGACTGCACTTGCTTGTAGAAAATACTAGTTATAAAGTTAAAATAAAATAAATCACATTTTAGAAAGCAGTAAGTGCTTTGTTGATCTGGTTTACCTTGCTTTGGGGCAGATCTAGACAAGTTATGATCACCAAGACTTCGTCTAGCACAAAGACATCAGGTTGGTGAATTACTGTAGCACTGCACACACAGGGTACAGGTTCATGTCTCCTAGAGCCAGGCAGCTCCAAGACTTCGTGCAGATCTGAAAGCAGAAGCAAACACCAAATTAATTCACTGCAATTCTGTTCTGTTCACAAAGAAGCAAAATTGCTTCTCAACAATTCTTGGTGATAGCAAGCAAAACACTCACAGGTAGGCCACCAGTCATACAAAGAAAAAAAGAAGAAAAAAAAAAGTTGAACTCCCTCAACCAGAGAAGGGGATCTCTGGCTATGCAGCACTGCTACCTGAGAAGCAGTCTAGCTTCAAGATACACTTTCCCTTCCATGGCTGACCCTTATATGAGCCCAGGGTGGTTGCACCCGGGTTCCACCCCTTTCAGTCGCTTGGGGAGCACAGCTGCAAACAATTTGCCTGTGCTCCCTGGGCAGCCACAGCCCTCACCAGGTGCTCAATCACCAGTTCAGGCCTTGAGCTAACAGTTCCCCTACAGATTCTTTTCAGCTTCACACACAGGTGCACAGACAGACTTGGGTACTCCATGGTCTGGTCCAGGTGCTGCGCTTAGCAAAAGGAGTACAGCTTTGCAGCAGCCACTGCAAGGGTTGCAGCTCCCCATCATACCAGTGATCTGCTCAAAAGAGGGTGTCTTTTACAGTAAGACACGATCATTTTTATGTGAAATAAAAGCTTAGTGCTATCAGAAAAATAAAAAAGCTGGACTTTGCTGAAAAAGCTTATTAGGAAGGCAGCCAGTGTGGGTGAGAAAGGCAGAGATGCCAGCTGAAATGGGCCACAGAGAAAATCAAAGAACACTTGGGATAAATGAAGTGCCACCTCTACTTCACAGAGGTTAAATTATTAATTACTCCTGAAGAAAGCCCTGTGTTTACCTCACATTCGATATCATAACAAGAGCCACCACCAGCGCAGCATTATACCAGCACAGCACACGCTTAGCTGGAGCTCAGGCTTATTGCATTACAGAGGATTTTAAATACTGTTGCTCCTCAAAGGCAATGATACAGGTTTGAGTATAATACTTGTTGTAGAGAAATCTAATTCCAAAGCTTGGAAGGTCTCTTCCCACCCCAAAATGGCATTAGGTATTGAAATGAAACCCAAATTACAGCTCAGCTTTGGTCAAAGTAGAAACGCTGGCAGATTTATTACTACCTTGTCAAGTGGTTTCAAAAATTACATATATTCTTCTAAAATCCATTTATGCAGGCAGAATTCAGCGGTCACACGAAGCGTGCTCCATGATGGAGACGTGATCTGGGCGCGTGGCAGGGCTCCCCAGCAGCCCTTCCCTGCTGCCCCCTGGCTCCCACACTCACAGCCCCACTTAACAGTGCACTCAAGCACTTCCTCTCACACCTCTGCATTCTCAGAAAATTGCTTTTTAACTCAGGTCAGCTTCAATTTTAACTTCATTTTTTAGGAAGGGTTTTTCATCTGCAGCAGCCCGGCACTTTTTGCCTTGCCTTGCTCCTGCGGGTCTGAGGGAAGCAGCCAAGGACTCAGCCACAAAGCTGCTGTCTGCCTGCTGCGTGGCTGCGAGGGGTTCAGCCCAGGTCCTCTCAGCCCCCACTGTCAGGCACAAGTGCTGCTTTTTAACACTGGATTTCAGGACACGTCCATCCACACATGTCCAGATACCACCTCAAGGCATTTTGCACATCCAAGCCTGATGATTCATGAAGGAAGCTCGGAGCCCTTACAAAAGGCCAGACAGCCCTGGAGAAGGAGGGACAAGCAGGAGTTAGCACTCAGCTAAAATGTCAGCTGCACTAAGGATGCACCCAAAACACCTTCAAGAGCAGGCTCATACTGTTTGTCACATCATAAGAAGCTGAGGCAACACATGGGAGTCCCCCACGGAGCCTCAGGGACCAGGCCCAGCTGCAGACCAGACAACACAGGATCACGCTGGGGAGAAAGGTCTGGCAGAAAGGAAACTTGTCGGTGTACCTGGATGGTCTGTTCTCAGGCTGCATCGCTGTAATGCCGTACATCTCAGCCTCACCTTGGAGGTTTGCTGGGAGTGTTTACAGTGTGCTTCTTGGCCAGGGGTGTTGCAGGTCCTTTGCAGAAAAAGCAATTCTTAGTTTGGAGAGGCTGCCTGCTGCTCCTCCTTCTCTTGGTATCACCCAGCAGCAGAACCTACATTCCCCTTTTAACTGAATTTACTGTGACTTCTCAGGGTTAGAGTCTGAAGCAGGGAGTCTAGCAGTGGCAACACGAGAGCAGCCTTGGTTTTCAAGCACCTATTCCAAATCTAACCTACTTCCCATGAACATCTCCTATCAGGATACAACAAACAGCATTCGTCTTTGTTTCTGATTCCTAACAAGCATGTGATTATTGCTAAGAAATAAGGCTGAATAAGCAGGGAGACTAAGAAACCAGCATTGCATATAAATGAAGAGAGATTCCTAACGTAAAGCAAAGGTTTGCCTAAAAGCACATTACGAAGGAAAATCCTGATGGTTATACAAGTGATTGATCATAATCAGTGGAACGATGTAAGCTACATATTGAAGGTTTTTTTGGGTTTTGCTTTCTATTTCCAAAAGGGCTGCCAGAGGACAGTAAGTTTCATCCTGGACACTTTTTGTGGCAATGCAACAAGGGGTGTCTGATGGACCCAACTCACACTGGGGCTCTGGGCTTGTTTTATTAAGGAAATCTTAACTTAACCCTTAGGAGTGACCTCATCCAACAGCTATTCCATCCCCAAAGGATTTAAGGGGCCTGGGTAACCTCAAGTTAACTAAACAGCTTTTTTATATCTATACATTGTACTGGTTTTGGTTTCTATAATATATTACTAATACAGAAGAGCTGATGCTTCATATTTCTTTTTGTCCACTTCCAATCACAGTGCGAAGTACACTTACCTGAAGGACGTTATTTTAATGAAGTCATTTATGCCCTTAAAATTAATATGTCAGAGCAGTTAAACTCTAGTGACTGTAACCAAACCAAATAATGTGTAATGGAGAAGTGTAATGAGAAAAAAATACAGCCTGAAGTCAAGGTTAAGTTGTTAACCTTAGGAAAAAAGTGAGAGGGGAAAAAAAAGCCAACGCCAACTGTATGTCCCCTTGGCATGCCATGAAGGATACCACCACATTGTCATCACCACCTTGTATACAATAGCGAACTAAGATTTTTAACTATCACTATGCTATACACTGGAGGCAGCAGGAGCTGTATCTTCTTTTGAGGAGATAAAAATGGGGCTCATTAGACCCTCAAGCAGCAAAGTAGTAGAGCTTCTCACAATCTATGCTCAGTCTTCTCTTTTTGCAGTACAGGAACACAAGTTGTGTGTGAGATCAGAGTACTACAGAAATATGATGAAACATTCATTCTTTCTGTTCTTTAAGGTAAGTCATACAGAAACTGCTCTTAAATTCCATCAGCACACAAAAATATTTCATTCATCATCTGCATAAAGCCGTAACAGACTATTACTGCAGCAGCTCCTTGCATTAGAACAGCTCCAAGTCAGAGCTTCTCATCTTTAAATAATTCAGTTTTTGCTGCTTTCAGGTGAAACTAAGCCAGCTACATCCCTCCAGCCATGAACCGCCGAAAACACGAATAGCAAGAACACAGAACGTACATGTTGGTATGCTACTTCCTATCCTTCCTTGTCATGAAATTTTCATTGTAGAATGCCGTTATTTGAATAATGATTAACAGAAGCAGCTGTTAAAAGCAGCTGTCAAATGAAAGGAACAGTTCGCACCCAGAGCTGGAGTTCCTCACCACAAGCTTCACCAGGTGCATTGCCCGTGAATTCGCTGCCCTCCTTGGGCAGCAGAAGGGGATTCATAGCTTAGTACATAGGATATCTGAATACATGAAGAGTTTCTCCTCTGTCCAGATTTCCTACCCAAAAATACGCAGCAAATTGAATGTTTTTCTCTCCTGCAGAGAAAGACCACATCTGCTGGAACCCAGCAGTGTATCAATAATCTAATAACAGGATAGCTCACTTAAACTACTTTTCAGGAGGGTTGATTTCTTCATTATTAACTACTAGTGTTCCCAGACAAGAAGGCAAACAGTCCAGTTTGCAGAACCCATCACATATTTACATGTTCTTCTACCTGGCCCATGGAATCTGCTGCTTTGATCAACTTCCTTCCCCTCTCAAAGCAGCTTAGCAGTCTCAGAGGTGCATTTCCAAACTGGGTTAACGTACCTCCAGAATGTTCATGAGGTGAAGAAGTGTAATTTAATTTGCTATTGCATAAACCAGTCACGGAAGCTTCCCAAGAAGCGTGAGTTTTCATTTCTTTCATAGTAGACATTTAATTATATGATAATTACTTACAGCTTGCAGCTCAGCTTCTACTTTTATGAAATATAAATTGCACTTCACTCAAAAGTGCAGGGTGAACATTTAAAAGGCTTCATTAAGTAGGTTTTAAGATTTTCCTGACGACTTAAAGCTGTGGAATGGAAAGCAGATGTACCTGTAAACTGAAACTTGCTTTGTGGAAGAACAAAGTAGAATAGCTAATGTAATAACAAGAGAGAGTGAGTATTTACAAGAAAAGAAATTAACTTGAAAAATACACTTTTTTAAGTAACAAACAAAATATTTCTCCCAGTCTGCATGATGAAAGGGACCAGGAGGGAAGAAGCAGGTTTGCCACCCCTCAGATACAAACAAGGCTCTGTATTCCAACTTTCCAGTGCACAGAAATACAGTTGGATCAGACCCACATCATCATTAATGGAGAAGGAACAGAAGCATTCAACTTGTTTGCAGCATCCCAAAGGCCTGGAAAACAGGAATTGTGCAAGTAAAAAGGTTAAGACAAGAAAAAATAACTTCACATGAATTTAATTACCATAATCGTGCAATATTTTTTACTTCCCTCTTGATTTTGGACCATGAGGAGGTGACCATGCCTGTACTTCTGCTGTGACACATCTTCACTGTTCTGGAAGCCTGGACCTAAGTAAAAAGGATAAAGAAGCAAAAATCAGACAGGCCCTGGCTGCTACATCGTGCAGGTGTTACTGTCACCTGGTGGCTGTAGAAAAAACACACACTGATGAAGGGAAGGGGCTGTTTGCTGCAACCCTGAAGGAAGCCATTACATGGACAGGCAAAGCAGCCTTAGCTCTGGCTCTTCTCATCCCGGGTACTCGTGTCTCAGCTGGAAATACAGCACCCTTCTGTCCTCTGTGCTTCTTACTTTCTTCCCTTTGCTGTTATTTAGCTGCTAAGCGCTACATGCTGCAGTGGAAG